GTCCCTGGGTGAGAACCAGGGGCGGGAGCGGGGTGGGAGGCAGCCGCAGGTGGGGCTGCAGATAATTCAGGCCCAGCTGGGTTTGCATAACTAGAGGCTCCTGGTGCGGTAGGAAAGAGATGCTCTGGCTGCAGCTGTGGAGCAGGAGGGACCTGACTGCAAGTAGGCCAGAGAGGGCACCTGAGACTGAGCAGGGCTGGGGGCAGGGCGGCAGCAGGGCAGGACTGTGTGAGGGGCTGGGGGCCACATGCAGAGCTGGGGGCTGGGTGAGGAGCTGAAGATCGTCTGCAGGGGCTGGGTAGGGGACCGAGGGGACAAGTGCAGGACTGGGGGCTCAGCGCAGGGCTGCAAGTGAGGCAGACTCTGCTCTCCCCACACCCAGCCTACCAAGACAGGATCTCCAGGCTCAGTTGGGCCCTTTGAGATCCCAAGCCCAGAAGGGCCCACTATGATCATCTAGCAGCCTGACCTCCGCTGTCACTCTGATGAGAGACCTGCCCCCAAAACCATTCCTAGGGCAGAGCTGGGAGAAAACCATCCAGGCTGGATTTTAAAATTGTCGGTGCCAGAAAATACGGTTGCCAGGTGTCCGGTATTCACCCGGACAGTCCGGTATTTTTGGCTCCTGTCCAGTAAAAAAAATTCAGAGTGTGCCGGACACCTGAAATGTTGGGTATTCTCTGAAATTTTACTCGGCCAGGAGGCGAAAATGCCGGGCACCTGGCAATCCTACAAACACTCAGCGCCCGGCCTCCCCTGAGCCCTCCCCTGGCTCCCAACACCCCCAGTCCCAGCCCCTATGCTTACCTGGTTCCCCAAGGCTGCCGGTCAAAAGACCTAGGAGAAGCAATGCTCAACCACTCCCCTGTTCCTATCCCTGCGCTCACTCTTAAAGGGGACAAGCTTTTAGTGCTGTTTTATTTTAATTTGGGGGGGGGGCTTACTTGGAGTCTTTTTTTTTTTTTTTTTTTCTCAACAACTTTGGTCTCCTCCCCCCCCTTTTTTTTCCCCCCCTTCAACAGAATTTTTTCCCTTTTTTGGGGGGAGGGAGTTTGGTATTTTTGTTTCAACCATCTGGCAACCCTAGCCAAGGGTGAGTTCTCCTCGCTGTCAAATATGTACACTCTGGATTTGTCTGGCTTCAACTTCTAGCCCCTGGGAGGCGTGGGACCTGTCCCAGCATTCCCCTTCTGGTGTGGCTGACACCCCGGCTCCCAGACTGCCTGGCTCTGTTGGGCGTAAGGGCCTCCCACTCAGCTGTGCATCAGGGTGAGATTCTGAGCACCCATCGGCTCCAAACAGGGCAATGCCCAGAGCCATGCCTGGCCCAGCTCCTCTGCTACCTGCAGCCCCCAGACATTGCTGCTGCCCCCTCCCTTCTGGTCCCAAGACTCTGACCCAGCCCCCTCCAGAGAGCACTGGCAGCTGGAGCACGGCCATTCCCTGCACATGGCCCCAGCCAGAGCCTACTTACTTCTCCGGTGTCTTGGCAAGGCTGGTGCAGGCAACCAGGCGTCTGCCTCGGGGGCACCATACTCATCCTCACTGGCGCTTTGCACCTGAAATCAAGAACTGGTTGAGTGCAGGTCTTGCACTGAGGCCAAGGGGGGCTGGGGCTAGCAGCTCGGAGTGACCGGGGCACCCGCACATGGCCCACAGCTGTCTTTCAGTGCATCTGTGCCAGGCAGCTGGTGCATCCTGTGCTCTGTGACCAGGCGAGGGCATGACCAGTGTCCCAGGGGAGTGCTATACGCCCTGCTGTGGGACCTGCGTGCTGCGCTCTGGGAGGTGGGGAGGTCCAGGCATACCAGGCCAGGGGGAGGGTTGCTGAGGCATGCAAGCAGTATCTGCGGCTGTCTATGGGGCACTCCTTGCTGGTGGGGAGAAGGTCTTGGCCCCCCGAGGGGCTCAGTGATTAGGCTCAGGGCATCCACATGGCAACACCCACCTCTTCCATTTCAAAGGAGTCATCCTCCTGGAGGGGCAGCGTCAGTGTCCGGCGGGGCCCGTGGAGCATGGAGCCCCCACCTGCTGCCCACGAAGCAGGAACCTCCCCACTGGAGAGCAAGGCTGGCCCTGAGTCTTTGCTGTCCCACACTTGGGGACATACAGCGTCCTGAGAGCCACACGTGCGGGAGCTCCCTGTGGGCGGGGCGTGTGGTTTGCCGTCAGCCCTTGGCTCCTCTTCCCTGCAATCCTCTCGTCCATCGTTCTCAGGGGCTCCCCTTGGGTCGGCCAGACAGGCTACGCAGGCTCTGGCATTATCCCAGCTCAGGGTCCTTGACAAGTCTAAGGCAAACCCAGCCTCACTTCTGAGCCCCTCTCTGGGCTCCAGGTGCAACCACATTGTCCCAAGAGTGCCCCTGGCGTTGCCGGCCTCGCAGTGTGTCCCAGGAGATGGGATGAGATAAGACCATGGTGCAACAGTGTCTCCAACCTGGGAACCCTGCTCATCAGACCCTGCTCCCCGTGAGGGGCAGGACACGTCCAAGGGCACCTCCCATTTGGAAGGAGCTACCTCCAAAGGGGCTTCTCCAGGGCCTTTCTTCTCCTTCTGGCCTGGATTACTTAGCCCCTCTGCACAAGCCCTGCCTCTTCCATCAGGTAGCCCATGTGGGGCCCATTGCAGCCTGCGCAGGGCTGGCACTGTGTGGCGCTCTCCTTGCCCTCCTGGGGGTGTGGGGACTGTCTCACCTTCATGGCAGACATGCTCTGGACTGTTGTTCTCTGGCTCTGATAGCTCTTGGGAGGAGCTCTGCTCTCTGTACCAGAACTGCACTGGCCCTGTGGGCATCTCCCAGTCTGCCCCTTCCATGCCCTCTATGTCTGTTTGGGCAAATTGGAACCGCTCTTCCCTTGCCCTCTCCAGCACCTTCCCTTGCCCTCTCCAGCCCCTCCTGCACTACCCTGCCCAAGCTGCTCCTCCGGCAGCTGGGTGCCTTGCTGGCTCTGTGTGGGGACTCAGATTTGGGTGAGGTGTACAGGCACATCTTGGAAATGGCTTTCTTCAGCCGGTCCACAGGAGATGTAGCCTCAACCTTTGTGGGCACAACCCAGGTGCTGGGGATTTCTGGGCAGCTCCAGAAAACCTGGGCTGGCGAGATCTTCTGCAGGGGTGTCTTGGAGACGTAGGAATAGAGGCAGAAGAAGGCGTCTGCCGTTGCAGCCAGCGCCTCCACCTGCTGGAACCGACCTGGCAGCATGGAGAGGAGAGAGAACGTCAGAGCAAAGATTGGGGATGCTCAGGTGTCAAGAAGAACATAAGGACATAAGAATGATCAAATTGGGTCAGACCAAAGATCCATCCAGCCCAGTGTCCTGTCTGCTGACAGTGGCCAATGCCAACGCCCCAGAGGGAGTAATCGGAACAGGGAATCATCACGTGATCCCTCTCTTCTCATTCATTTCCAGCCTCTGACAGAGGCTAAGGACACCATTTCTACCCATCCTGGCTAATAAGTATTGATGGACCTAACCTCCATGAATTTATCTAGTTCTTTTTTGAATCCTGTTAAAGACCTGGTCTTCGCAACATCCTCTGGCAAGGAGTTCCACAGGTTGACTCTGCACTGCATAAAGAAAAACTTCCTTCTGTTTGTTTTAAACCTGATACCTATCAATTTCATTTGGTGACCTCTAGCTGTTATATTATAGGAACAAGTAAATAACTTTTCCTTATTCACTTTTTCCACACCGGTCATGATTTTATAGACCTCTGCCATATCCCCACTTAGTCTCCTGTTTTCTAAGCTAAAAAGGCACAGTCTTTTTAATCTCTCTTTATATGACACCCATGCCAACCCCTAATAATTTTTGTTGCCCTTTTCTAAACTTTTTCCAATGCCAATATATCTTTTTTGAGATGAGGCAACCACACCTGAACACAGTATTCAAAATGTGGGCGTACCATGGATTTTTATAGAGGCAGTAAGATATTCTCTGTCTTATTTTCTATCCCTTTTCAAATGATTTCTAACATTCTGTTTGCTTTTTCGACTGCCGTTGCCCATTGAGTGGATGTTTCTGTGAACTATCCACAATGACTCCAAGATCTCTCTCTTGAGTGATTACATCTAAATTATTCCCCATCATTTTGTATGTGTAGAATTTACTTGGCCAGAGGTAAGAGTCCCTGGGCCACGCCCCAGGCCACACTAGATGGTCAGAACAGTCCCTGCTGGCCTTGACTCGTGTGGATCTTTTAGCAGGGTTGCTGTGAGGGGCTTCAGTATCCAGACCGTTCTGATGGCCTGTTCAGTATTGGTTGACGGGGGGCAGTGAGAACAGGAGCAAACCTCCCCAAGGATTAGAGAGGCTCCATGCACTTTCCTGTAGCAGATCTCATTCTGCCCAGCTCACAGGTGAGGAAACTGCAGCCCCAGAGAGGAAGCACCTTGCCCAAGGCTGCAATGTGATGAGGTGGGAATAGAACCCAGGAGTCTTGGCATCTAATCACCTTCTCTTACCACTATAGCCCACTCCCCATCCTCCACTGCCACAACCCTTTCCACCACATCATTCCCCCACGGGCATGCCGCACCCCCACCAGCTCAGGCTCCAAGCACCCACCTGAAATGGGAACCTACCTTAGGCACCAGGGGGTTTGAATCCCCGGAGCGCAGTGACAGGAAAATAAGCGGGGCTGGGGTTGGAGCTGGGCTCACAGTCTGCCCCAGCTTTGGATACAGCTCATGGCCCCTTGCCCCTGACTGCAGGTGTCTCAGCCTGGCTGTTTTAACCCCCTCTCCCTTCCAGGCTCCTCTGGAACACCCAGATATCCCCACGGTAACCCCGGCAACACCTACTGGCCAGGGTCAGGCAGGGGTCCTCCATCTCCAGGCGCTGCACCTGGGCCTTCAGGAAGAGCTGGAAATTGATGCCTTTGGCTTGGGAAGGAGCCGAGAAGAAGCGAGATGGGATCCGGGCTGCGGCCTGAGGTTCATCCTGCACAAAGCCCAAGTTGAAGAGAATCTCCTCAGCATCCTCCTGGCACCACTCCAGGATCTCGGAGAGGCTGCAGAGGGAACAGCAGGATTTACACCCCATCCCCACATGTTGTCCCCACTGCCACACCCCTTGCCTACACACCAGCCACGGCCCTTCCTTCTGTCCCTGTGAATACAGGCTACCCCCTCCATACACCATCCCTCCACCACGCCCATCTCCACATGCCATCCCCCTGCTACATCCCCATGGATACAAACTACCCCCACCACACTCCATCCCTCCACCACGCCCATCTCCACATGCCATCAGTGCCGACTTATCCATTAGGCACAGTAGGCACAGTGCCTGGGGCCCACGATACTTTTAGGGGCCCACGAAAATGTTTTAATTTCTTTTAAAATCAGAAGAAAAAAAATGAACTTTTAGCTGAGAAACAGAATGTTGACAATGATGTAAAAGAATCACAGAATACTAGAACTGGAAGGGACCTTGAGAGATCATCATGTCCAGTTCCCATGCTCTCACGGCAAGACCAAGCACCGGCTAAATCATTCTTGATAGATATCTGTTTAACCTGCTCTTAAATATCTCCAGAGATGGAGATTTCACAACTTCCCTTGGCAATTTATTCCAGTGTTTAACCACCCTGAGAGTTAGGAAGTTTTTCCTAATGTCCATCCTTAACATCCCTTGCTCTTTTCTGGACCTTCTCCAATTTTTCCACATCTTTCTTTAATTGTGATACCCAGAACTAGATACAATATTCCAACTGAAGCCTAATCAGTGCAAAGTAGAGTGGAAGAATGACTTCTCATTCTTGATCACAACTCTCCTGTTAATGCATCCCAGAATCCTGTTTGCTTTTTTTGCATCACTGTCACACTGTTGACTCATATTTAGCTTGTGGTCCACTATGAACCCTTGATCTCTTTCTTCAGTACTCCTTCCTAGACAGTCACTTTCCATTTTGTATGTGTGAAATGGATTGTTCCTTCCTAAATGGAATACATTGTATTTGTCCTTATTTAAAAACTTCATTTAATAAGGGTGATGGGGTATATAAAACCAACAACAATCTAGAAAGAGTTGTGAGACTCACGATAAAATCATGATTTGGAAAAATTGATATTCATTGTACCACGATGTCTCCTGGAAACATTTGCTATTAGTCACTGAGGGTATGTCTACACTACAATGTTAGTTCGAACTACCGTCCGTTAGTTCGAAGTAACATTGTAGTGTAGACATACCCTGTGAGTCTATGAGTCTATGAGTCTATTACATTTTTCCTAAAACAGAAAAAAAATAAAATGTTGAAGTATTTAAAGTTATATCAAAAATAATTTTTAATATTTTGCCACGAAGGCAAAAGTGCCTAGGGCCCACAAAAGTCATAATGCGGCCCTGAATGCCATCCCCCTGTTACATCCTATCCCCATACTCTGTCCCCATGGATACAAGCTACCCCCACCACACACCATCCCTCCACAAGGCCCATTTCCACACACCATCCCCCCACATCCCCATGGATACAAACTACCCCCACCACACACTGTCCCCACCACCACACCCTCTTTCCATATCCCCACCTTACACACCACCTCATTTCCACATCATCTCATCACACAGCATCTCCATGTGCTGCCCCCCACCACACAGCTCGTCCCCACCCCTCCATCCCCACCCATTGCCTCTCCAAGTGCCCTAGCTGAGGCCGGTGTGTGTCAGGTTGGAGGATATTCTGAGGAATTTGTTGCTTGCTGCTCTATAGATACCAAAGGCGAATGCTTGGCTGTATCTGAGAGACCCCCAAGCAACCTGGCTTGGCTGCAATGGAGAGACCTCCACAGGGCCAGGACTGACTGCAGTTGCCTCACCAGAGTTCAAGGGCCAGATGGACTTGCTGCCCCTGGGAAATACCAGCCAGTTCCCAGGACCCTGTCCTGAGGCCCTCAGGGTCCTACCTGGAGGCGGTCTTGTTGGTGCCGCTAGAGAGGGCACTGGATGCCATGCTGTTCCCGAGGTGAAGGTTCTGGCCTGGCCAGGGCTTCGCCAGCAGGGTCTTTCTGTGGCACAGAAGGCAGAGGAGGTCACAAACAGGGGTAGTGTGGCCTGGCCAGAGTCATCCGCGGCCAGAGCCCCGGTCACCATTTCCTGAGCAGTAATGTCCCTGCTCCAGATTGTGCCCTACATCCCGCCAGGGCTCAGGCCCAGCGAATGGCACGCACAGCAGGGTGCAGGGCCTAATGGGAGCAAGGCCTGCAGATGGGAGGCAGGCCATGCAGAGGGCTTGTTGGGCGGGTGAGTGAAGATGGGGCCTGAGGGGGTGGGCAGTCTGGGTGCAGGGCATGTTGGGGCACAAGAGCCAGTGCTCAGGGCTGGAAGTGGGAAGAAGAGGCGGAGTCAGAGCTTAGAGACCCCTGTGGTGGTATTAAATACTCTCACCTGTTAGCGGCTTTGTCATTGCCAGGTAACAACAGAGCTGGAAGAACAAGGCAAAGAAACAGGTGAGTAACACAAGGTGTCTCCAAATCCCAGCTTGACACTCTCAGCACATACACACACAGCCAGGGCTCCCCCGACTTGGGCACCAAGAGGCAGGCCTCATGGGGGGCAAACAGATAGCACTGGGGAGGCCTCTACCAGATACTCTATCAGTGCCTGCCCTATAGGGTGGCTGGGTCAGATGTGCTGGACCAGAGGGATGGGCCATCACACCGCTGAGGGAGGGACAGGAATCTGAGGATACCCAGCCCCCTCCATTCTCCCCCAGCAAGCACCCTCCCGCCTCCAAGTCGGGGGATCCGGCCGTGGCTCATTCTTAGTGCCTGGTCTCCTCCCCCTGGAGGTGGCAGGGCTGTGCTGCCCTAAGGCAGCTGAGATTGGTGAGAGCTGATGTGTATGGCACTGCACTGCACCAGGAGTGACTCTGCCCCCGCTCTCTGCTGTTGGGGGAACTGGCTGGGAGCTGGCATCCCTCACGGCTGGTACCTTCTGCTCCAAGCGTCAAATCATCCTCAAAGCTGGTCCCGTTACTACTGCATCCTGCAAGAGAGCAATGGCTGAGTAGTACCCTGGAAGTTGGGCTAGCAGGCTCTGGGCTGGGCAGGGCGCTCACCCTGTAGGCTCTGGGCTGGTCACTGGGAGCAAAGGGGGTTGTGCTTCTGGGAGTGCTCAGACTTTCCCCAGGTCCCTGGTACACATGGGACACCCCAAGCATAGACTGCTCCCTATGCAGTGACCTGTCCCTGGGATCTGCGGTTCCCGCCACCAGCACCATTCCCCTCTGAGCTCCACCAGCACCATTCCCCTCTGAGCTCCAACCAGCTCCCAGTTCCTCATGTCTGGAAGGGGTCAAGCACAGGGGACAGCAACCTACCAAAGGGGGCAAGCAGGCCAGGCTCCTCAGGCGGGACCTCCATGGACACCCTGAGCCAGAGAGAACAGCCCATTAGTGTGACATTCTATACCTTGGGGAGTGTCCTGTCACCAGCATATCCCTCAATTGTACATAACGGTGAGCTCGCATCTAAAGCAGGCCATGTGCGGTAGCAGGGAAAGGGTCTGAGGCTCTACCTGAACATGTCTCTCAGTGCATATGAAGCTATGCGATTGTGTTGTGTGGTTGTCACTAAAACATGCTGTAAGTTGGAGAATCAGCCCCAATATTAGCTCCTCAGAGAGTAAGAAAGTAACCTGCACTCAGGCGGGTGACAAACATTGATGACCATTGTCCAGCCAGGGAGCTACAATTCGATGACTCACCTGCATAATGCCACTGCAGGAGAACTGCTCAGCCTTCCTGGTGACTCAGCAATGCCCCTGGATGTGCCTGGACTTCTGTTCTCAAGGTACATGGACTAAACCAAATCAAAACACAGGAGCCCATGTGCTGCCTTTCAACTGCCCTCACCTATGCTGCAAGCAACAGGGACACTGAACGGGAAAGTGTGCAGACTCCAACAGAGGATACTTGCCCAGGATTCAAGGGTAAAATATCCACTGGAGTGTGAAAAACTGATTCATCTAGTGGTTGCCCAAACTAATAGGGTTGAGAGTTTAGACTGCGTGCTGAAATTGTATTTTCTTTTATTATTTTTCTTTTCATTTTCAGATTAATTAACTCTGACTTTTTGTCTATCACTTAAAATCACTTAAAGTCTATCTTTTGTTGTCAATAAACTTGCTTTGCCAGTGAGTTTGCCTTAAGCACCTGGAAAATCTGCTCAAATTATACAAACGGGTGTATTGAGGAACAAATTAATAAAATCTAAGCAGTGAAAGATGATATATTCCTGAGGTACAAGGGGATGCCTTTCTCTGAGTAATTCATGAGCCGCTTTGGGCACAGTCATGAAATCTAGCTGGGCGTGGGGGGCCACATGTTGTTATGATAAGTGAAACAGCACCTGGAGGGGTTTCCAGCTTGTCACTAGCAAAGCATTGTGAGAAACAGCCCAGGATGGCAAGCTGGGAGAGCGGTAGCTCAGTGGTTTGAGCATTGCTATGGGCTTATGAGCTCAATCCTTGAGGGGGCCACTTGGGGATCTGGGGCAAATCTGCCAGGGATGGTACTTGGTCCTGCTGTAAGGGCAGGGGACTGGACTCAATGACCTCTCAAGGTCCCTCCCACTTCTATGAGATAGGTATATCTCCATATATTATAGTGGTCCCACAGTCCCGGGCTGCAGCCTGGGGGTCCTGTCCTAGCTATCAGCTGTTGTTGTTATTTCAATGGCAGGATCTCCCAGTGCCCCTTGCATACTGAGGGGGGTCTCTTCCTACTGCCTCTCAATGCAACTTCTTGCCACTAATCCACTTTGCCCCCGGAGAGAATACAAAGCATTCAGCCCCATGGAAGAAGGCAGTGAAGTACAATGAGTAAGGGGGAGGGCCAGAATGGGGGTTGGGAAGGGCATAAGAGGGGCAGTGATGATGGGAGGGAAGTATGCAGGGGGAGGGCCGGAACGGATGTGGGGAAGGGAACAGAATATGTGCGAGGGAAGGGGCTGGGATGGTGATGGGTGTAAGGGGAGGGCTGTGATGGGAGCAGGGATGAGGGATATGTAAGGGGATGTGTGTGGGAGAGGGATGAGATGGGGACAGATATGGTAGATAAGTAAGGGGATGGTGTGAGTAAGGGGATGGGCTGGAATGGGGGCAGGGTTGGGGGAGGTGTAAGGGGATCGGTGTGGGGGGAGAGCTGGAATTGGGGTAAGCAAGGGGGAAATGGGTGTGAGGGGTGCCCCTTGGGCTCCCCAAATGGAGAGCATTGAAGGGTTCCAGGAGAACAGCTCTGTCTGTGCTTGGGGGGCCCTGGAGAGACTCCGCCCATCCATGTGCCCGCACCCCCAGGCCTGGAGCCTCTGCCCTGCACCAGGGAAGTGCCTGCAATAAACTAGTGTGTTCTGCCCTTGGAGCTGGCGTGTTGTGGCATCATCATGTGGGAGCGGAGCCAGCTGCACATCCTGTTCAGGGAGCGGGCAGGGGGTGATCCAGGGGCAGCATCTCTCTCTCTCTCTCTCTGACACACACACAGAGCGTGGGCAGCAGAGACATATGCACACAGTAGTCTCTCCACAGGAGGTGGGGAGGAATGGACCTGCAGGATGAAGGGATTAATCACTAGCAGCCGGTATGGATTTACCAAGAACAAATCCAGGTCCATACGTGGTGGGAGGTTGCGCCCCCCCGCTGCAATCGCCCAAGTAAACACGCTCCAGCTGGCCTGGGGAAGGCAGGAGCAGTGCGCCACCTAAATCTCCCTCCCCCGTGCTCTGACCAACCAGCGGAAGGCTGGGGCTGATTTCTCTGCTTACTTGGGGGAGCATGGGGGGGGGGGGGCATTCACACCCTTGCAGTCCACATTTACAAAAAAAGCACACAACCCCACCACAAAAATTCCTGCATACAGGCCTGAAATCCTGGCTCCGTGGTGTGTACATACATTGGTTAAACAACTACAAACGAAGCCTGGCATGGGGCAACTAGCTGCAGGTAGGAGAGGCCTTGGGGCAGGACATAGGTGGAGCTGTGCAGGGCTGTTTGGAGGGGCACAGCCGTCATGCTGTGCACTGCTCATGACTTGGATGTTGGGGTAGAGTGTGCTGATCAAATGTACAGATGACACACAGCAGCCAGGAAGGGGAGGGGCTGCCAACACTTTGCAGAATAGTGCGAAAATTCAGAAGGATCTTTATAAACTGAAGAACTGGGCTCCAGACAACAAACTGAAATGCCACAAAGACACATCAGGGGTACACTTAGGGAAGCAAAACCAAATGCACAAATCCAGACGGGGGCTAACTGGCCAGACAGCAGCACAGCTGAGCAGGGTCTGGGAGTTGTGGGTGGACCCAAACTCAACACGAGTCAGCAATGCACTGTAGTTTCAAAAAAAATGCAACTTTAGAATGCCACTCTATTCAGCATTGGCTAGGCCTCCTGGGGAGTACTGAGTCCAATCTGGGTCACCGTTGTATAGAAAAGATGGAGAGAAACTAGTAAAAATCTAAAAGGGAGCAATATAGACGAGCAAAGAGGAGGGAAGCAAAGGCTGAAGGAATTGGGTCTGCTTCACTGGAGAAGAGGCAATGGAGCAGGGACATGAGAGTGACCTTCAGATACTTGAAAGGCTGCCATGAAAAAGATGGAGAAAAGTTGTTCTCTCTTGCCACAGGGGCCAGGACAAGAGTTAACGGGCGTCGCTGTAGATTGAATCTCAGGAAAACCTTCCCAAGGCTATGTCTAAACTGCAAGTTAATTTCGGAAGAAGCTTTTCCAGGCGAGATCTTCCGAAAAAACTTCTTCCGAAAGAGAGTGTCCACGCAGCAAAAGCGCATTGAAAAAGCGATCTGCTTTTTCGAAAGATAGCATCCACATTTAAGGGATGCTATCTTGCATTTTAACTGTGATTACTGTGGACGGAGTGGCCACCAGGGCACCTGTGCTTTTTCCTCTCTCCTCTTCTTTTGAGAGAACTCCCTCTTCCCTGTCCACACACGCCTTTTTCCGAAAGAGCTCCTTCCTCGCAGAAAGAGGTTTACCAATGTTGGAAAAACCCCTCTGTTCTTTTCGATTTTTTTTCGAAAGAACGTGATTGCAGTGTGGATGTAAGTGACGTTTTTTCAGAAAAACAGTTGTTTTTCTGAAAAAACTCTACAGTGTAGACATACCCCAACTGTAAGAGCAACAGGACCGCGGAACAGAGGCCTTGGAGGTTGTGGAAGCCAAAAGGAGGCTGGAGCCATTTGCCTTGGATGGTTCAGACACAACAAATCCTGTATCATGGCAGGACTTAGACTAGATGTCCCTCGTGGTTCTGTGGTTCTATGATTCTGTCACATGCGCCAACACACACACACACACACACACACACACACAGGGCAGCTGGACTCACCCACAATCCTGCAGCCAGGTCTCAATCTTGCTGGAGGAGCTTCCTGTTGGAAATACAAAAGTCCGTCAGATAAACCAGGGAGAACCCTTCCCTCCCCCACCCCCAACCAGCACCTCTCTGTGCCAGCTGCCCCATGACTTCTCCAGGGCCAACCCCAGAACAGCAGCTCATTGGCATGAGCAAGGTGGGTGCACCAGCCTGGGGCTCCCAGCATGTCCCCCTGGGCAGTGGGCCCTGCTAAGGCTGGGAGCCCCACCTCCTGGGCTGAGCACTGAGCCGCGTCCTCCTGTGGAGAGAGGATGCAAGGCCAAGAGAGAAGGGCCAGTCCTGGCCGCTCCACAAAGAGAGGTCTCGGCCCAGGAGCAGGGACAGGGGGTTGGCACTGGGGGCTGTGGCATCAAGAAAGAGCAGGTGGGGTCAGGGATGCAGCTACAGGCCTCGGCACAAGATGCAAGAGTTTGAAATGGGATCATCAGGGACAGGAACAGGGGCATTTGATGGGCATTTTTTCCAGTGACTGAAACTTTCCCAGGGGTGTTTTTGCAGGCCCCAAAAAGCCTGAGGGGGAGGGGTGGGGGTGTTCAGACCAATCCTGGGGCAAGTGCAGTACCAGTCCCACTATGCATGCTGGGCACAGGAGTTAAAGAAAGATCCCAGCACTCCCCAACACATACAGCCAGTCACACACGCTCCACCCACCTCTGTCCACTTCCCCGCTTGGTCTTCCACCATCGAGGAAGACATCATCTAGGTGCGGTGGCTGTAGCTCAGGCACATCCTGCAGGACCACTGCTGCCTCCTCCTCCAGGAGCACGGTGGTGCGCCAGCACCGGCTCTGCCGGACCCATGCTCTGCGTTTCTCCCAGGAGGAGGGGCTCAGTGCTGATGCCCCCTCCATGGCTGGTGGGGCCGCAGGATGTTCTGGGAAGAGCCAAGAACCTGAGAGAAACCAACATTCAGTCAGTGTATCAGGTCTCAGCTGAGCCACCTCCTCTGCCACAGCATAGACGGGGCTCCGCTTCTGCAGCTCGCCAGCTGAGCCATGCCTCCCAGCACCCGAACTGCTCCTGGACTCCAGAGCCTGGAACCCCTCCCATTCCCCAGCATCTGGAACCACTCCCATTCCCCAGCACCCAGAACTGCTTCCCTTCCCCAGCATCTGGAATCACTCCCATTCCCCGGAGCTTGGAACCCCTCCCATTCCCCAGTGCCCGGAACTGTTCCCATTCCCCAGCACCCAGAACTGCTTCCCTTCCCCAGCATCTGGAATCACTCCCATTCCCCGGAGCTTGGAACCCCTCCCATTCCCCAGTGCCCGGAACTGTTCCCATTCCCCAGCACCCAGAACTGCTTCCCTTCCCCAGCATCTGGAATCACTCCCATTCCCCGGAGCTTGGAACCCCTCCCATTCCCCAGGGCCCGGAACTGCTCACATTCCCCAGTGCCTGGAACCCCACACATTCCCCAGCACCTGGAACCACTCCTGTTCCCAGCACATAGAGCAGGAGCATGGAACCTGTGGTCCCCAGCTTGCATGGATCCAACACCCAAGGCTCAGTCTCCCCCCCCAGCATTGGGGAGCCTGTGCTGGCACTCCACGCACCCCCCCCCCCCTGCTATCCCACTTGCTTGGGGGTCAGTAGCCCCTGACCCAGAAAATCACCCCCTGCTATCCCACTCTGGGCGAGCACACAAAATGTACTTGCTTGGGGGTCAGTAGCCCCTGACCCAGAAAAGGTTCCCCACCCTAATCTACAACCTTTATTTTTCCCTAGTGTCCAGGACCTCTTCTGTTCCCAGCACTGAAAGCTCTCCCATTCCTAGAACCTGGAATTTCTCCCATTCTCAGCACCCAGATCCCCATTGCCCAGAATCTCTCCTGGAACTGCTCCCATTCCCTGTGCATGGAACCACTCCCATTCCCTTTGCCTGGAACCACTGCCATTCCCGTGCCCAGAGCTGAGAAGTTTCTGAGTGTTTTCATCACAGTCTGTAAATACCTAGAAGGGGAACAAATATTTCCGAACAGGCTCTTTGTGGTCTAACATGATCCAGTGGCGGAAAGGTGAAGCTAGACAAACTCAGAGTGGGGAAAAGGGTAATTAAGTAGTGGAACAGTTTACCAGGCCCCTGGTGGATTCTCCCTCACTAGCAATTTTAGACTGGATTGATTTCACGCTCTGGTTCAATGGGGAACTATTTAGGGCAGCTCTCTGGCCTGTGTCACACAAAAGTCACACTTGATGTTCTCATCTGGCTTTGGAACCGATGTATGAATTGCTGCCCATCCCAGATCTCAGAAGGATTCCCGAGCTGAGCGGAGCAGGCTGGGAGAAGGCAAGGGGGTAGGGTAGAATAGAGCACATTGCCAGGTCACTCCAGCTCCTGCCACCCTTGGGAGAGCAGGGGGCCGAACCCCTGCCTCGGCCCCATGCCAGGCTCCCCTGGAACCTGTCCATAGGATGGCTGAGGTGGGCAATAGGAGAGTGCAAAGCATGGGGCCTGGGTCTGTGAGTGATGCCCCCCAGGCATCTGTAGTAGTACCAGTGCTGATCAACATATTCATAAATGGTCTGGGAAAAGGGTGAAGTGGCAACATTTGCAGATGATATAAAATTACTCAAGATACAAAGTCCAAAGCTGACTATGAAGAGCTACAAAAGGATCTCACCAAACAGGGAGACCGGGCAGCAAGCTAGTAAATCAGATGCAATGTAGGGACTGTCCCTAAAAGAATCAATGGACACAAATCTGGGGCATAATCCCAACTGTGCGTACACAACGGAGGGGTCTATATTAGCTGTTACCAATGAACTCAAGAGAGAGATGTTGGCGTCATTGTGGATAGTTCTCTGAAAACATCCACTCAATGGGCAGCGGTGGTCAAAAACCAAACAGAATGCTAGGAACTAGATAGATCATACACAGTAACTAGAATAAAGCTGCTAGATTAGGTCCACCCTCGGAATACTGTGTGCAGTTCTGCTCATCCCATCTTAAATATATCAGACCCAGGAAAGGGTAACAGAAATGATGAGGGGGATGAAACAGTGTGTACCTGACGAGAAAGTAAAAAGACTGGGACTGTTAACTGAGAAAGGAGGCAAGTGACCAGGGGATGATAGAGGACTTTCAGGTGGCATGGAGAACATTGAATAAGGAAGAGTCATTTACCCTTTCACATACCATGAGACCAGGGGTCACTCAATGAAATAGGCAACCGATTTTAAACAAACACACACTGCAGAGCCAACCTGTGGGACTCATTGCCAGGGGATGTTGTGAAGGCCAAAAGCATAAGTGGTTTCAATGAAGGAGACCAGTTCATGGAGGATCGGTCCACCTATGGCTGTTAGCCAAGAATCCCAGGGATCTCCTACTCAGGGTATTCTTGAACGTCTGAGATAATTGCCCTGTTCTGTTCATTCCTTCTGAAGCATCTGGCATAAGCCACTGTCAGAAAACAGGACTAGAAGGGCCATTGGTCTGAGCCAGTATGGCCATTCTCTATGTCCTTACCACGGTGGGGTGTATATCACATGGCCTCCCCTCCCCACACAAATACCCAAGAGCAGGTGAGGAGAGGCATGGCCTGTGATAACCCCACCCAATCACTGAGTGGAAAATTGCGCCCCACTCTTGTAGATGGAAACTCCTGCAGCATGACGGCTGCGCAGGCACCAGGTGTCCAGGCAAGGGAAGCGAGCGACTCCCCCAGCGTCAATGTAGTTCGATGGAAACTACCGCCCACCCCCTGCGGCCACGCAGATATCAGAGACGCTGCTTTGCTACATCGCATGCGTTCCAAAGAAGATGGAGAGAGGCTGTTCTCAGGGGTGACGGATGGCAGAACAAGGAGCAATGGTCTCAAGTTATAGTTGGGGAGGTCCACGAGGAGTTCCACGAGGAGTAACTGTAGTTCGGAATAGGAAGCCTAATCCGACTACCTAGTTCGTGCCGCGTGTAGCACGGAGTCCGCACTAGCGGACATTTAAAAATGGCGGCGCACGGAAAAATGCAAATGAAGCCCGGGAAATTCAAATCCCGGGCTTCATTTGCAACTCCGGTTGCCTACATTACCACCCTAGTTCGAACTAGGGTGGTAGTGTAGACATACCCTTAGTTCAGATTAACTTCTGACTGCCGCGTGTAGTCACTGGCAGTCAGTTCGAACAAAGGGGATTTAAAAATGGCGCCCGTCCAGGAACATGCAAATGAAGCCCGAGATATTTAAATCCCGAACTTCATTTGCAAGTTCAAATGCCTACATTAGCCACCCTAGTTCGAACTAGGGGGCTAGTGTAGACATCCCCCTCCCGCCTGAGTTTTGTGAGGTTCCTTTGTAACTCTTTACTGTCTTTTTGGCACTTAACTCTCCTGAGGAATTTTGTATCATCTGCAAACTTTGCCACCTCACTCTTTGCCCCTCTTCTTAGGAACACAGGGTACGTCTAGACTACAGGGTTTTGTCGACAGAAGTTTTGTCGACAGATACTGTTGACAAAGCTTCTGTCGACAAAGAGTGTCTAGACTACATTCAGTTCTGTCAACAAAGCAAGCTGCTTTGTCGACATAACAGTGTGGACGCTAAGGACAGTTTAGATGCAATAGTGCCTTCTATTGACAGAACTCTGTCGACAAAAGGCGTTATTCCTCGTAAAATGAGGTTTACCAGCGTCGACAAAACTGCTGAGTTCTGTTGACGTTATGTCGACAGAACTCAGCAGTAGTGTAGACGCAGGTTTAGTTTTGTCGACAAAAGTGGACTTTTGTCGACAAAACCCTGTAGTCTAGACACACCCACAGTGAACAGCACTCATCCCAGACCTCTTTACTTCTCTCCATTCAGAGAATGGACCGTCTATTCCTACTCTGTAGATGCTGTCATGAAGGTACCATGAGCTCGGAAGTGGGCTGTGCCACTCGAAAGCTCATGATACCTTCTACATTTTTTGTTACTCTATAAAGTGCTACCAGACCATTTGTTGTTTTCTCAGTGTATCCTGCAGAGACTAACTCAGCTACCCCCAAAGCTTCTATTCCTCCACTGTCATTCCTTATCTTGTAACTGCATTCCGGGAATGCTTTCAGCATCATCCAACCTACCTAATTTAATGTAATTTAATGAGAAGACTTTTGTTCTCTTGATCATCCTGCCTCCGTTATAAACAGACTCCTGGAGCCACACTCATTCCTCTGACTCCTGGGTTCTGCTGGGCCCTTGCCCCTGTGGTGACCCTGGGAGCCCCCCATGTGTCTCCCGGGTTGGGAGGGTCTCAGCCCCATTCTAAGTTGCCTTCTCTGCCAGGAATGAGGTACCCAGCCAGTGTAGAAGGAAGAGCTCTCTGCCCCACTCCCTGCGGAGGGGGAAGCTGCTCTGGCCCTGCCGCCCCAGACACCTGTCACCCACCTGGGAGAACTGCCATGGCCAGTCGGGCAGAGAGACAGCTCTGTGCCCCACTCCCACCCCACTGGATGTGTGGTCATGCCCCATGGCTTGCAACATGCCCCCCGCTCCACCTCCAGAGCCAGGAGCTGGACTGGCTCTCCTAGCTCCTGCCACAGTGAGGTCTGGTTGTGACCCGTGCTCTCCAGGGGGTCCTGAGGGACAAGCAGGACACTCATATTTGGGGAGCCCTCCCCCCATGACTCAGGGGATGCCAACGAGCTAGAGTAACCACAGGCTCCCTCCAGCTGTGTCAGTACTGTCTGATTTCTTCTGGCCGACCCCGGGGGTCTCCCTGTCATTGCTCACGGCGGGGCACAAACCCGCATGGGTTCTCCCAGCATCCATGCAAGTGGGATGGTGTCTGCGCACACAGCAGCAGCCCAGGAAGTGCTGTGAGTCCCCCTGCACTCCCTGAGGGCCGGGCTGCAGTTCCGGCCTGGCCACTTTGTAGAGCAGCCCCGTCACGGGCCAGTCGCACAGCTCAGCCAGAGCATCGTGAACAGCCCACGGGGGCACAAACCCGCATGGGTTCTCCCAGCATCCATGCAAGTGGGATGGTGTCTGCGCACACAGCAGCAGCCCAGGAAGTGCTGTGAGTCCCCCTGCACTCCCTGAGGGCCGGGCTGCAGTTCCGGCCTGGCCACTTTGTAGAGCAGCCCCGTCACGGGCCAGTCGCACAGCTCAGCCAGAGCATCGTGAACAGCCCACGCTCAGAGCAGCACCCCCGGCATCCCCAGGAGCCACGGGGAAGTTTTTCACAGATCCACATTAGACCCTCTAGTCTGAGTCCTCTTAGCGCAGGGCAAGGGATGCCACCCACTGCGCTGTGCTGAGCCCGCTGCCGGGGGTTTGCCTAACGCCTCTTCCAGAGAAAGGCCTCCAGTCTGCATTGGCGAGACCCAGAGACGGAGCCTGCAGCCCTTCCCGTGGGCTCCTGGTGCTGTTCAGGAAGGGGAAGTGCTCGGAAGGACTGGCCACGCTGTCGCCACCTTCCCTCGAAGGCTGCAGCCCTCGGCGCTCAGAGCCTCAGGGGGCGGTGGGACTCCACTGTGTAAAGCTGCTTTTCCCCTCCCGCTTGCTGGGAAACTCTGCCCCTCCTCTCTGGCTCTAGCCACAGGGGCTCTGAGGCGGAGGGAGGTGCAGGCCGGGCAGTGTGAGCAGGGAGCCCATGGTTCCTTGGTTCAGCCCTGTCCACCTGGACATTTGACCAACCGACTGACCCTCCGTGGGGAGAGCAAATGGAACCAGTTCCCAGTTTTGCCCCCAAAGGGGGGTGAGCTCTTTCAGAGCACAAAGGAACTTTTGGAGGGAAGGCAGCAACGCCAGTCCTGCCTGGGAGGGAGGGCTCAGGAGAGGAGAGTGGCTCCC